TTGTGTAACAATTTCTTCTGAAATGTTTACTTCATGAAGAAAGGATGGAGGTTCTGGATGTAAAAACAAACAAACCAGAAACATAAATGAAATGAAATACTACAGGAGCCTTCAGAAGTTCTTGAAAGTTACAAGATTTCACAAGCAACAATGGGGACAAGCTACTCTGACTGGGTATAAGTGCCTGAATACTGTGCAAAGAGCTTCAGGGATGCAGCTGTCAGGGATCTTCAACATTTTAAGGTGGACTTTCGGTAATGCAATGACCTTGAATTAAACCTTACAACTGTAAATGACACCTGGCTACACTCACAGTTGTAACACCATGCACTCACTGGTTCGGTAACACAAATACTCAGAGAATCATCACTTTGGTCTATGTTCAGTGCCATCCACGCCTCATATAGCTTTCCTGGATATCTCCCCAGGAAGTCACATAATAACAGTTCAAAGGCACCATATTCCTTCTTCTTGAACAACCAATGCTAAACAGGTTGCTTTGAATTGATTTTGTATCTAATGTTCAAGTAGATTATAATGCAAATGTTTTAATGAATCCTGGAGGCTTCCTTAAAATAATAACAAGAGCAACCCAAAAATACTAGTTCTTCCATATATGGAAATTGTATATCTCTTCATCAATAAAGTTAGTCAATAATCAGATATTAAAAGGATATAATGATGTCTACTCAAGTTGCATAAATGATAATTGTTATATGGTTGGTTCATAATTACCAAGGTAATATAAGATCTGTGTCTAACATAAAAAATTAAACATGGACTATGGATATAGTTCAATTTATATCATTTATCTAGAATGATTGAAGGTCAGGTTTCAATCCCCAGCCCTAAAAGTAAACAAATAAACACATAAAACATAGATTATGATTAGCTAACAAAATCTAAATCATATCTTGTACTTCTTGTGAGACATATTTTAATTATTTTCTTAAATGAAACTATAATGATTAAACAATTCAATCACCTATTTTTACTTAAATTACAGAGTGGTTAATGCACCACTTTTTGATGTAATGTTGAGTGAGAAAGAAGAAAAGATTCATATCATTACATAAAATAGTAGTAGTAATCACTGATACTTCCAGTCCAAAAAAAAAAAAAAAAAGGAAAAAGAAAAAAGTGCTAAACTAAATGTGAAATGCCATTATTAGAACTAAAAAGGAATTGATTTACTTTCAACTTTTCTGACCTTAGTCCTATATTATACTCATGGTCAGTGATGTGAATAAAAATGGAGTGTGTTCCTTTATAATAAAGTGAGGACAAGCCATAGTATTCCTCTATTATATCCTAAAGAGGACAACAAGCTCATCAGTCCAGAACTGTAGTCCACCTTCATTAATTGACACTTGAACTTTTAGCAGTGAATTAATATTCCAGTCACTCTGTTAAGAGGTGTCTGTTTGGAATGCTGGGCAGTACTGAGGCTCAATACCATTAGTCAGTCAGTCTGTCTGTCTGCTTCTCCATCTCTCTCTCTCTCTCTCTCTCTCTCTCTCTATCTATCTATCTATCTATCTCTATCTCTGTCTCTCTCTTTCATTTTTTGCCTTTTCCTACACATTGTATTTAATCTGTCTACCTGCACAGATTAAATACAGGATTTTACTAGTCCTTCCTGATCATATTAGCAAGTAAAAGAATATTCCATAAGCAAATTTTGATATCAGTATAATTAGACCTAGAAAATCTGTGAGGATTAGAAATGTTAAATGGCTCCTGTGTTTTGTAAGGTCATAGAAAAATATAGGGTTCAGTCCAAAAAAGCATATGGTTATATGCATAGTGTACAAAATATTGTTTGTTCTTGGGTGGTTCGTAGTAAAATTGTTTCTTTATATTCAAACTGAAGTCTTAGCTTTATCTTGAGGTTTATATTATTTCTAACCATATGTTTTTATATTATCTGTAAATTAATTTTGTGTTGTATTGTGTTATTTTCACAAACTGAGGTAAAACTGTGAATAACTCTGGGTTTTAGAAGCTACTGGCCCTTTCCCATTTTAGTGTGTGATGAAGATTTCAAATGATTAATTCAGCAAACTTAATATCACCAATTCAGTGGATCCTGAAAGAATAGTTGTAAATTTAATCAGGGAAACGATAATACATTAGTTATAAAGAGTGTCCATTTTGTGTTCAAAGTGGCAAATCTTTATGGAAATTAAAGTATTTCACAATGCTTAAAGCTGAGGATCTGGTTACTCTTTTCACATGCAATATACAATCGTAAAAACACAGATAAATAATAATAAAAACTGCTGGAAAGACCACTTAATGTCAAAATATATGATCAATAATGGCACATGCAAGGCAAGAGCACCAACAAAGTAAAGAAAGCACATATTTTTAAGGAAAATAGATGTTTTATGTTTGTTTTCATATTTCTTGTATTCTCATATTGTTTCAAATAGAGAACTAAATAATATTGAGAGACAGTTTTACATTGATAATCTTCCCTAGACAAAATGTGATTATTATATTTTTTTCATGTTGCCTTGAAGTCTGCTGCATAAGAAAAACAGACCAAGAAACAGAAAGGAAAGGAAAGGTAGCTAATGTCTCAAGTTGTTCATTCGAGCAATTTGAAAAAAATGTGTTATTTAGATATTAATTAATAAACAGTACCTGGGAAACATTTTAATTTTAAGTTAAATCACAATACTGGTAATAGGACTTCAATAGCCATAGGATTATATGTATCACCTTTTTCTGTGACCATTTTCCTACATATTTGAAACTAAAGAGTGAACTATTTCAGTAAGACCCTGTGACCTGACTGTCAGTCCTTTATATACTGCCCCCCACAAAAAGAATCACAAAGCAATTTCAAGTTCTTAGATACAAACGCTTGCTTGTTGAACTTGAAGTGTCCCGACGATACCTATTAACTAACGGTGAAAGTGATGTTAAATGAGGGATATGGAAGGAAGCCACATGACTAATCTAGAGAGAATTGCATGGAAGAAAAGAATCATTGACTGAACTGCACTGGACAAAAGTGTATGACCTAAGTAGCCACAGAAGAGAGATCTCAAAAAGGAGGAAATAATAGTCTTCAGTTAACAGAGACTGTATTTGAAAAAGTAAAGTAGTATAAGATTTTGACAATTTCTCAGGATAAATGTCCTTCTGGTTTGAAGGATATGGATAGTTTTGTGCCATCAGTTATATATTTTATTTTCTTTATTATTTGCCTATTATAATACATTTGCCTGCTGTTTTCATTCAGCCAATTCTCACTACCTTAACGATAATACTTGTATGCCAAGAACACAGAAATGTTTCTGTATTTCTGAATGTTTGGCATGTGAGTGATTGTCAGAATGTAACATCATTCATGATGTTACTCTCAGGTTGTCATTATATCTGAGAATGGTGTTTAAGTTATGAACAATTAGAGAGATCAGGAGAACACTATAAGGATAAAACAGATCCATTCAGATCGTGTACGGAGCATAAACAGGTCATAGGAAATGTCAAAAAGATTTTATTACTAAAACTGTAGGATGCCATGTACTGAAACAATAGAAGGGGTAAAAGGGAGAAGGAAATGCAGAGATAGACAATGAAAGGAACTCAAATCCAGTACCCTCAAATGAGTTGTATTAGCACAGGGAATAAATAATTATTATTTCCCTTCCTGAATGCTAGTGGGCAACTCTCAAGGATGCTGAAATTGACATTACAATATTCCAACCTAAAGGTAGTGTCTTCTTTCTCTTTATATTTTTGCTCCATTCTTTGCTTAGATGGCAGTCACTCAGGTACCCAGCTTGATAGATTTAAGAAGCAGAATATTAAGAATTATCTCTCACTCAGTTCATTTTATTATGAACCCTAATGAACTAATTAATAAGATACAATGATGTATTTTCTTGTATGTAATGACTACATTTTGTTTTTATTCATATGACACATGAAGTATTCATTTACAATTTTTCTATTTTTGGTTGTGAGCCTAGCCTTTAACAGCTGAGCTATTCCTCCAGCACTCATTCACAATTTTAACAAATAATCTAAGTCAGTCTTTTATTAAGCAGATGAAAATTATGAATATAAATTCTACATCCAGGCTGCAATGAAGTTTCCCATCCCTCCTCTCTTCCCAGTCCTCCACCACGCACCCCCAGTCCTCCCCGATGCACCCTCTTTGTTCTAACATCTCAATCCACCCTTCTTCCATTTCTGTTCAGGAAAGGACAGGCCTCCCATGAATATCAATAAAACATGGCATATCAAAACTCAGGAAGACTAAACACTCGACCCACCCCATATTCTCTATTAAGCCTGGGAAGACCACCCAGTATGAGGAGTATGGTCCCAAAAGCCCTTTCATTCAGGATTGTTGACACTCAAGGATAGCTTGATTTGGATATATGCATACTAAATTGAATCATATATAGCTGATCAATGAGTCATGATAACATGTGATTACTATTTTTTCTTGCTTATTTCTTTCCCTTCCCTTCCCTTCCCTTCCCTTCCCTTCCCTTCCCTTCCTCCTTTCTCTTTCCCCTTCCCCTATCCCTTCCCTTCCCTTATCCCTTTCTCTTTCCCCTTCCCCTATCCCTTCCCTTCCCCTATCCCTTTCTCTTTCCCCTTCCCCTATCCCTTTCTCTTTCCCCTTCCCCTATCCCTTTAATTTTCTCCTTTTCTTTCAGGCATGATCTAGCAACATAGTCCAAGTTGACCTTCAAGTTTTGATCCTCCTGACTCAGCTTCCTCAGTGCTAGGACAGGAGGTGTGGGTAAACCTACCTGGATGATTTCCCATTTTGATATCTATAAGAATTGTTTATTCATATTAGGTACTTGAATGGTACATTTCACACAAGTCTCATTAGAACAATTTATGGTAACACCTTATGACAGTGAAGCTCGCCCAATATTTTAGGATAATTATTAGTGATACAGAGTTGTCATAAAGGATAATGGATATCAAATTCAATTTCTGGTTTTTCCAGATCAAAATCTTACCTTTCCTACATACTGAGTGTCTGTACCTGTGTACTCTTCTAACAAGAAGAACTGATTCCACATCCAGCCACGCTTGGTGCGATGGAGCATTTTCCCATCATCTTTTGTCAGATTCACTATGGTTTTCAGTAAGTGACTGTTATCTTTTGCTTGTAATGGGCTGTTGTCAACGGTATGCAGCATGCAAGTCCAGATGACAAGTGGGAGACAATGGTACATCCTCATTATCTTCAACTTCAGAAGTAAGAAAATTTCAATGTATAAATCTGTAGAAAAAAAAATGATTTCATTAGGATGTGTCTCACTTTTACATATACTGTATACTGGAACAATTTAGTATACTATTTATGTTCTTATGGATATATAACACATTTGAGAGAAAAATCTAGTTCTATTGGATGTATCAGAGTTTAGGCAATGACAATGTGAAATTTTCAACTTAAAAAATAAAATAAATTTACTTTTATATTCACTGCAAAGACACTGAAGTATTCCAACATAACATTCAGAGATCAATCTGGCTAACTGAAAATATTACGGGATAGGAAAGAGATTCAGTAAGGTTGGGAGCATCAATGAAGACTGTCATATCAGTTCAGTAAAGGATGGTGATGTTTTCTAGAAGTATAGCGTAATGAATTAGTAAAGTTTGCCTGTAGACTAAGTATGATTCTTAATAGGAACACACACACACACACACACACACACACACACACACACACATACACACACTTCACTTTCTCTATGCCTTGTCTTTAAATTGGCTACTGCAGTGACTTCCTATGCTCTTTGAACTTTGCAAATGTCCTTATGAAATTTCTGAGAAATATTTGAAGTGAAATATGAAACACAACTGAGTTTCATGCACATTCCTGCTCAAACTGTACTGTGTATTCCCGTGTGTGTGTGTGTGTGTGTGTGTGTGTGTGTGTGTGTGTTTATTTTCCTATATATGAGGTTGTGCACTATAGTTCTTAGACTGTAATGCTCAAAGACATGTTTGGAGATTTGGGCATTTTATTTTACAGATAAGACATTCATTTAGGGATTAGAATGTGACTGTCTGGTCTGAATGTTTGGTCTATTTGAAAATCCCTGTGTTGATAACCTATTCACAGCAAATGTTAATTGGGAGATAACTAAGCCAGAGACCAGAGTCACTCATGGAAAAATTACTACCTTAGGAGAACATGGTGGGAACTGTGCTCTATTTAACTATAGCTTCATGAAAGCATATGGAAGGCATTCAGCACCACTGAAACTGCACCACTAAGAGGGCACCTTGACCTTGCACATATCAGTATTCAGAATTTAAAAAATACTTATTTCTGCTATCTTTCCCATTGTATATTATGTTGAAGTAGTAGCCAGCATCAACAAGGAGAAAGAAAATAATATTCCATATGTATGTATTTGAAGACTTTATTTAAAATTTGCCCAGTTAATAGTTTTACTATATTCCTACTGTGATCTGCATAAATCTTACCTGGTTCCTTCCTAGACACATTATTTGCATTTTTGATATTTCTCTATCATATACTTTTATAATTCTCCAAGTAACCATTTGAAAGGTATCATGTCATACCTAAGTTTTTCCTGTTTTCTATCAACTTCACATTTATGACCTTCTCATGAATGAAAACAGCATTTATTATTTCATTCAATCTGTATTTAACACAATGCCCCCCTTTAGTTAGATAAAATGTCGTTTGTATGAATGATGCAAGAAGTGGGTAGCTTATAATGGCCTACACACAACCTAATAGGCACTTACTTATTTGAGTAAAATCATCTGCTTGATGGCTTAGTTTATAATGCTTTTGCAGTTTATTTTCAACCCAGGGTCACCTATCAAATGCTTATCAGTCTAATGTATAAACAACAGTGGAGACACATGTAAAAATTGACCCTAGAAGGTTCATAGCTTTTGACTGGAGTCAGAGACTATTTTGGGATTTTGTAACCTCAATCATGAAAATTTCAGTGCCATCACTGAAATTCACAGAAATTTGCATTAAGTAAGATTAAATGTTAATAGCACAGCATGACTGCTATAAATTATAGAATGTTTTTTATGAACTTTGCCACTCTCTGATTTAATACCTTTACTTTAGTCAACTTTTTTTTGTATATTTGTTTCACATTTAGGAAACATTACTGGAAACCCCCTGTGGCCAATTTAACACCTGCACATTCTTTGGTTCTGAGATAAAAGTGCCCAGTTTAAAAGGTTTTCTACTATATTTGATTTTCAAGTTAGCAATCTCATGTCCCATGTGGTTTATTAGAAACTCTTCACATCAGTTATTTATTCAAAAACAACAAGCTGATTACTAAATTTTCTATGCCTAATTATCTCTATCAGCCTTAACTGCTCTACATTTAATCTCACTTTTGTTGATAAATAACTACCATCAAATGCACTATGAAGTGAAGTATTTTAAATAAGGGTTAACTTTGATTTTGAAATCAGGCAATTCACTTGAATCTTGTTAGTGTTAAAAACTTAACATTGTTTTATTACATCCTTGTTCAGTTAATTATTTAAATTCCATTTTATTTCAATTTCAGAATAAAGAAAAATATGGTTTGTTGTGGTTAATTGAATGCTTACCAGTTAGACACCTCTCTGCATGCCCTTATATAATTATAATCCAAATAAAATTTTACAGTTTTCTTTTGTTATTAATCATTTGTACATAATAGTGTATCTGCATGCAAGTATATGTACATTTGAATGCAGTTGCCACCAGAGTCCAGAAGAGGGTATTGGAACCCAAGGCCATGGAGTTATAAAGCAATTGTGATTCACCCAATGTGGGTGCTAGGAATTGAACTCTGTTCCTCTGCAACAGCAATATACACTCTTGGCCAGTGAGCCATCTGTACAGTCTCTCAAGAAATGTACTTAGAACACAAGAGTATGTGATTAAATTTGCTACTTTGTCATTATAAAATTCGTAGTCAACAAATAATTTGACAAACTTTACAATAATAGTCTTAATAGTCACATAATTTATATTTTCCCAATGACATATGTGAGTTCTACAGAGATGAAATAATGTACTTTTCATTTATGTTACTTTTCTATTTTCATGACAAAATGCAATGACCACAGCAACATATAAAAGGACTTAATTTGCTGTTTACCATTTGAGAGTGTTAGAATCAATAGCCAACATTTCGAGGAGAATGGCATTAGAACCATAGCTGAGAGCATATATCTTAGTCCACAATTCCAAGGCCGAGAGAGATAACTGGGAATGGCTGTTATTTGTTTGCTTTTTACTGTTGTTGTTTTCAACCTTAAAGCCTGTCTCTAGGAACTTACCTCTTCCTACTAGGACACACCTCCTAACCCTTCCCAAATTCCCACTTCATATATATTTACTTGTCATGGTCATTATCAATTAAACTATTTATGGGACAATGTAGAAACCAAGTACAATGGAAACTCCATGAACTCCACAAGGTTCACCCTAGCAAAGACTCCTAGTAATGGGAGATAAGGAGCCTGAACTGGCCATCTTCTGTAACCAAGCAAGACTTACAGTAGAGGCATTGGAACACCAACCCAGCCACAAAACATTTGACCTACAACTTATCCCCCATGCAAGATGTGCTGGGGTAATGTTGTTGCAGTTCTTGTTGAGTGGCCAACCAATGACTGGTCCAAGTTGAAACCCATTCCACTTCTGATATTGCCTGGAGTACCAAGATGGAGAACCCATAGACCTAGCATAGAATCACACATAACCAGCCCAAATAATAAATAAATAAATAAATAAATAAATAAGCCAATGAAATGATCCCTCATACTATTCTGATATACTCCTAGACTGGAGACTAGTATAATGATCATCAGAGATTCTCCATCCAGCAACTGATAGAAGCAGTTAATGGAGTTTTAGGTGGAGTTTTAGGAATCCTGTTGAAGAATGGCACAATGGATTGTAGAAGCCTGATAGGTTAAGGATGTCACAAGAAAATCTCCCACAGAATCAACTAACCAGGTATTATAGGGGCTCATAGAGACTTGGGTAAAAATCAGGAAGCCTATATGGCAAGAAAATGTCCCACAGAATCTGGAAGCCAGAGATTATAGGAGATCATGGAGATCTGGGTGAAAATCAGAAAAACTTAACATGGGTCTCATATAAGTTCTCTGCATATATGTTATGGTTGTATATCTTGGTGTTCTTGTGGAGTTACTAACAGGGGGAGCAGGGGCTGTGTCTGATTTTTGCCCTAATCGTGTGCGCCTTTTCGTCCTACTGAGATGCTTTATTTAGACTTAATATGAGGGGTTTGCCTAGTCTTATTGTTAACTTGTTGTGCCATGTCTGGTTTATATCCCTAGAGGCCTGTCTGATATATCCCTGAGATATACTTTTTCTGAGAGAAAAGGAGAAGTGGACTGGGAGAGAGGGGAGTTATAGGTGAAAGACCAGGAGGACAGGAAGGAGAGGAAACTGTGGTTGGGATGTCATATCTGAGAGAAAAGTAAATAAAAAGAAAACATATGTGAAAAATATAGATATAAGACATTCTGAAAATGTTAGCAATTAATAAATTTTATGTCAGCATGATGAAGTACCATCATCCCTGTAGAAAAGTTAAAATTAACACCTAAAAATCTTTGTTAGGATGATGCACAACATGAACTCTCCTTCATTGCTGCTATGCCACTCACTGCAGAGAAGGCCTTTGAAATATTTAAAAGAAATAAAAGTTTTATATTCTAGCATAGCAATTCTGTTTCTAGTTATCATGCTTTAAAATATTTTTCATGAAGAAAATACACAGTTGATTTTACATAATGTTTATTCATATTTACAATTTTAAATATTTATTCCTTTTTATTCCTTGGGTATGCATCCCTGCCTGAGTGTGGGTGTATGACTTACATGCATGCTTAAACTCATAGTACCTGCAGAGGGCATCCCATTCTGTGGGGTTAGAATTACAGGCATTTATTAATGAATTGACATGGCTGCTGGAGATTTTAATATCAGTTGTCTAAAGAGCAGTGAACCCCTTAAACACGGAGCCATCTCTCCAGGCCCCAAAATGCCTTTTAGAAAGTGAACAGATACATAATTTTCCAAACACTCATGAAGTGGAATATGATAAAAGTGAAATGGGTTTTATTCTGATTCCAAAATAAATGAAGAAATGTAAATTAAAATTTCTACAAAATTGACTCTCTTATGAGAAGTTTATGTATGTAATTAACAGGGACACATGGCATTCTGAACTAGGTAAA